GCTCTAATCATGAGCAAAGGACAGCCGTGCCTGACAACGTGGATGAATCCCACCAACACAGTGTTCAGGGAAAGAAGCCGGACACCAAAGAATCCAGACAGGGTGACTTAAGTTGGGCTGCTCAAAACCAGGAAACACTCATGGCAACAGAAGTGGGGAGAGAGGCTTCTCAGGGAAGGATGGGTTTGGAGACGGGGGTATTAGGGGGCTTCTGGGGTGCTGGTCATGGTCGGCTTCTCAATCTGGGTGGAAATTTCATGGGGTGTCACCTTTGCGGAAATTCATCGAGCTCTACCCTTCATGATTTGCGGCTTTTCTGTAGACACGTTCTATTTCAAGAAATACGTTAATTAACCAAACTACTCAAAGATAGAAGGATGTGGACAAGTAGAAAGATACTTCATGTTTCAGGAAGGAGATTTAACCCCATGAAATTTTAATTCTCTCTAAGCTAATCCTATATCATAAAAGTCTAATATAACCTCCTGGTTCACAGGTCGATGCTCAAGCACTGAGCCCGGGCTGGGCTCTTCCTTTAGATCTTAGCTCAAGCACCACCGTCTCCAGGAAGCCCTCCTGTAGTCTTCCCCAACCAGTCACATCCCCTTACCGTGGGCTCATCCAGTGTTTTCTACTTCCTCACAGCAAGCCAGGCTTATGACTTAACAACATTGCTGAGTCGTAATTTTATATTTGCTTTTATATTTTGGGTAATGTCTGCCCCGGGCTCTGAGTCGGGTGAGGATGGGGACCAGGCCTGCCTCCTTCGGCCGGAGGCGCTGCGCGGTGACTGACCCGTGAAGGAAGCGTAAGCTCGGAAGGAGCAGTGCATGGGGAGGCAGTTTTCCCAGGCACACGGATACCCGTTTTGAAATTGCGTATTTCGTATTTATTTAAGAAAAAAAAATGCACATAGCACATCAGGCTTGGGGTTTCACAGAAATATTGCCTACGATGAAGCTAAGTGAAACATGAGTTAGTGCAGCGACATTCAACCTTTTCAACTCACGGCACACGCACACTAATGACTAAAATACATTACGTTTTTTGCTGAGCTGACAAAGAATAGTTGTGATTTTGGTGCATGAATTTTGTGCACCGGGCCTCTAGTTGATAAATACACTTTGATTTGGGCAAAAATACCCACAGTGTTTGTTGCACTAGCTACGTGTACCCTGAAGTTCCTGTGAAAAGTGAACCAGAGAGAGCAGCCAGGGAAACTCAGGAGGACCAGCCACATCATGAAGCTTTGGTCATTCAAACGATGTGCTTTTGACCACAAATTCTGGAACGAACCAATGAAATTTCACACCAGACGGCTGCTGTGGTGTTGGCTGCTGTCATTTTTCTATTTGACGATCTGAGGGAAGAGAGGTCAGGGCCCCTGACTAAAGAGTCAGGTGTTGCATGTTTTAACAATTCTCGCGGCTCCCCAGTGCCTCTTCAGGCACACCCGTGGAAAGTCACTGAGCGAGTGTAAAGCACAACATATGGGCTAAATTATAGTCCAGGTGGCATGTGGATGCAGCGAGCAGAACCAAAGGTGGCGCGACAGGGCCTGCCGTTTGGGTATAAAAGCCCGGCCCGGACGATTCCGGTCAAGGGCAGCTGCCTGGGTTGCAGGCTCGATCCTCAGGAGGGGACTTGCAGGAGGCAGCCGATCAATCTCTCATCATGGATGTTCCTATCTCTCTCTCTCCCTCTCCCTTCCTCTCTGAAATCAATAAAAAAAAATATTTTATTTTATTTTTTTTAAAAAGACGCCCAGCCCGTGTTCAAACCTGGCGGCTGGCTGCAGGGCTGCAGGGCTGCAAGAGGACACAAGGTGGCGCCAGGGCCCCACCTGTCACAGGTGTGGGCTGAGTCGCGCCTCCTCTGGCCTGGATGCCTGAGCCCCTTGCAAAGTCCCTCCAGGTACCTGTGGTGAGCTCCTGAAGGTTGGGGGCTCCACTGGGGGTGGGTAGAGGCTTCTAGACCCTGAGCGTGGGGGTGGGGATGACCCAGCCACCTCTTCTCCAGCCGCTGCAGGCACCCCATGCTCAGGAATGAGTGGGGGCCGTGGGGGGAGAGCAGCCTAGACCTGCCAAGGGAAGCCTGCAGCGTGTGGGTCCCGGCTGGAAAGACCTGAGTTCAAAGCCTTTCCGTCCCCGTGACCTTGGGAAGCCACTCAGCCTGCCTGTGCCTCAGTTCCCTCACTTGTCAGGGGAAATGCACCTCTCAGAGCACTGCTGGGTGAGCGACACGAATGGCGGGGCTTGGGACTGAGCCGGGTGCAGAGGGAGGGCTCAGGCTGCATGAGGAGCCCTCGCTGACCGCGTGGGTGCAGAGGAGAAGCCAGAGGGAAAGCAGGTAGCAAGTGCCATCGGGATTCGGTCCCACGTGCAGGGTGTCCCTGTCACAAGTGTGCCAGTCATGCCAGGGCAGGATGGCATCTGGGTGCCATGCACTGGCGCGCGCGCACATACACACACACACACACACACACAGGCTGGGGCCACACGTGGCTCAGAGGGCAGGGCTAAGGGCATCACACGGGAGCCTGGGCAAGTCCCTTAGTTTATCCATCTGTCCAGTGGGGGCTGTGACGTTGACCTTATGGGGTGCCGGGGTGATCACAGGGAGTGCCTGGCATCTGGGAGGGGGGCTTTCCTGGAGGGTGAGGAAGGGGGTCGGAGCCATGAGGCAGGGAGGGGAAGTGGGGGCGTGGCCACAGGCTGAGATGCCCCAGCTCAGAAACACCCCGGCAGCCTGTAGCCTGAGCCCCAGGAAAGCCCATTCATTCTCAGCTAAAGGAGGCAGGGACTTGCGGCCAAGACCACGGCGTCGTTATGAGCTTATAAACCGCGAGGACATGGCTGCTCTGAGCTCTTGGCCATTAATGGGCCATCAAGTCATGCTCCAGCTCACTTTATGGGGTGCTGGGCGGGCAGGTGTCAGCCCCCTTAACCACCCTCTGCTCAAGGCCCCAAGTTCATCTCTGGTGGCTTCTGGACCCCAAGAGTGTCACTCACCACAGAGCTACCCCGGGTGGCCGTGGCCCAGGGCCAGCTGGGAGAGAGCAACTGACGTTCTCAGCCTCAGCTGGCTGACCTCTAAAATGGGAATAATCCGTCACCTCTCAGAGGGGCTGTGGAGCTGAGATAAAGCCACATCCCATCTGTCAGGTGTCCTACCAGGGCTCTACCTTCCAAACACACCCAGGCTCCGCCCACTCCTCCCACCTCCGCTGGGACCACCCTCGCCTCAGCCACCACAAAAACAATATGCAATTATATATGTGTTTTCTGATGGTCTTAGGCGACCCCTGTGAAAGGGTCGTTCGATCCCCAAAGGGGTCGCGACCCACAGGTTGAGAACTGCTGGTCTTGCCCCTGCATTGCTGGGAAGCCTCCTCACCAGTCTCCCTGCGGCCACCCTACAAGGCTGCCCTCGCACCACAGTCAGAGGGAGCTTTGGAAAACGGGAGTTGGGCCTGATACAGCTCTGCTCAGCACCCTGCAGTGGCCCCACGCAGAGACTCAGTCCTCATGGGGCCCTGTCTCCTGCTACCCCTCCCCGTCCAGCCACTCCGGCCTCCTTTCTGTTCTGGAACATGGCAGCTCCTTGCTGCCTCAGGGCCTTTGCACAGGCTGTACCTTCTCCATACATCTGCCTGGCTCATCCCCTCATCTCCTTCAAGTCTCTGCTCAATGGCACCTTTCAGTGCGGCCCATCCCGACCACCCTATGGAAAATGAAATTCTCCTCGCAATATCAATCCCTTTGCCCACGTGGTTTTCCATGTTCCGTAGCATTTATCAGCTACTGTATAATTTACTTATCTATTATGACGACTTTCTTTACTTTCTTTCCGTGCTAGAAAATCAGCGCTGCACTGGCAGGGATCTTTGCTTTTGTCATTGCCCCCTCCCACGCGCTCAGAAGCGTGCCCAGCACGTAGTAGGTGCTCAGGGGATGCACATGTGAAGGTTCCTAGACTTGCGCTGGGACAGAGTGGGCTGCTGAGAGGTGGTAGCCTTGTCACTGGGGACCCTGAGAGATGGAATGGTTTGGGGTGAAGCTGTGGAGCCCGACACTGAGATGTCGTGGGCCCGTGATGACTGCTCCTATGGATTTTAAATGGCCTGTGTAGGCGGCCACCGGGCAAAGGCATCAATGATGAGCAAAGGCTGCTTCCCAGGGATCCAAAGGCAGGTCCATTTCCTGGTGACCCCTGACTGACAGGCCATGTCTTCTCTCCTGCCTAGAAGTAGCTCAGAGCTGGGGAAAGCCAGGACCAGAGACTTCGGGAGGCTCTTCCATGGCTGAAGGCACCTGCCCAGCCTATGCCCATGGAGCTGGAGGGCAGGCCACCTGAGTCCACAGGGTCCTGAGGTCAGCCCCACGGTTCCATTCACACCAGACTCAGTCTGATGCCAGGGCCCAGGGAGAGGGGTGCGGAAGAGGTCTGGGAGGTGCCTTGGGAGGGGCGGTGCACACCTGGGGACATAGTCATTATATGGGGAACAGAAAGGCTGAGTGACTTGCCCACAGTCACAGGGGAATTAAAGGGCTCTGCTTTGGTCTAAGCCTGAGTCCCAACTATTCTCATCTAGTTGTTTGAGTAGGTGTGGCCACCGAGTACATGGCCCCCATGGGGGCTCAGGAAATACATGCGAGGAACCAATCATTGGAGACTATGTGTTGGTCATATGCCTGTTGGGGAGACAGGTAGGGCCAAGGGGCCAGAGGCACCTTCCCGAGGCCCATGGGCTCTGGTTAGCCCAGAGATGGGGAAGGAAGCCCAGGTGCTAAAATCTTGGCTTCTATTCCCAGGTGTTCAGGGAGTTTTGCCCAGAAGTGAAGTGTGTGTTGGGAGAAGACTCACATGTCTGTGCTGGCCTTTGTGTGGGGAGCTAGAGAGAGTGAGGAAAGCTTTGTGCGCCTCATCTTCTCGGCTGAGGATCCAACCCGCAGTTTTCCCAGGCGGAGAGAGGTTCAGCCAGTTTCCTGTGGGCACACAGTGTAATGTTGATGATGATAGTAATGATGCTGATAATGATGGTGATGGTGATGATGGTGATGATGGCCATAATGTTGATGATGATAGTAATGATGCTGATAATGATGGTGATGGTGACGATGGCCATAATGATGATGGAGATGGTGATGGTGATAATGAAGATGTGGAGGAGGATGGTGATGATGATGGAGATGATGATGGAGATGGTGATAATGAAGATGTGGAGGAGGATGTTGATGATGATGGTGATGATGGAGATGGTGATGATGACGATGGAGATGATGGTAGTGATGGTGACCATAATGCTAGTGATGCTGATGATAATGCTAATAGCTATCTTTTACTTCGTGTTTGCTATACAAATTTGGATCCTGGCTCTTTTTTTTATCAGCTAAGTACTTTGGGCGAGTTACTTATCTTCTCCATACCGTAATTCCCTCATTGGGAATTAGGAGTGTTTGTTTGGGAAACCTGCTTCGCCATCTGTAAAATTGAGTACCTCAGATGGCTGCCGTGAGATTTAATAGGATGATGTGTGCAAAGTGCTGAGCGTACTGCCTGGCTCCAGGGAGATGCTCAAAACATGTCAGTTATTAGTGGGCTCTGGGCACTCGGTGCTTCGCACACCCCACCTCAGATTCTGGGCATTGTTGCTCGGCTCAGAAACCGAGGCTCAGAGAGGCCAAGACAAGCCCGAGTCCACATCGCTGCTGAGGGGTGAGGCTCTTTGGTTGTCTGTTTCTGCATAAAATAAACAAAATGTTGTGGCTTGAAATAGCCAGCACCATTTGCTGTCTCTCACGATGGTGGGTTGACCGGGCTCGGTTAGGTGGTTCTGCTGCACCCGGTGTTGGTCGGGGGTGCAGCTGCGTGGGTGCTACTCCTGGGGCTGGAATGCCCAGGTGCCTGCCTCACAGGCAGCCGTTGGTGCTGGATTTCGGCTGAGGGCTCAGCAGCGTCTGGGTTGTCTGCTAAAATGCCTTGGTTTCCTGCCGCCTGGCCTCTTTACCAGGTGACATGGTGGCTGGGTTCCAAGGCGGTTCTGAGAAGCAAAGGCGAAGGCTGTGGGTCTCCTATGGCCCAGCTTTGGGGTTGACTCGGTGCTACTTTGGCTGCATTCTATTGTCAAAACGAGCCCAGCGATGGCCAAGGTCAAGGGGAGAGCAGCAGATTCCGCCTCTGGGTGGCAGGAGTGCCATGGACTTGCTGCCGTGTATCACCCACCACAGTGGGACTGGAGCCCTGCGCCCCCCGCCCCCCATCTCTTTCCAGCATCTGTGTGTGTGTGGTGGGGGGTGTAGAAGGGAGAAGGCCAAGCCTCTATCTCTTTCTGTGGCCCTCTCACCTCCCTCTCACCATCTCCCCCTTCCCTGGTCCCTCATATTCTGGTTGTTCCCATGGTCCCATCCCTGGACCAGCCAACAGCCAAGCCAGGGACCTGGAGCTGGAGACTGCAGCCAGTGACCACCAGGGGGCAGCAGAGCCAAAGGCCTGGGCGAAGCTGGGTCCCCAGGCGCCTGGCACCTATAGGGCGAGGCTGGCCAGCGGGACCCATTTTTGCCAGACTTTGCACACTCCCAGCCATTCACCCAGAGCTGCCTGCTGCTCCCCTCTATTATAGGGTGACCCCAGGGGTGGGTCAGGACACCGACTGCCAGTTTTCTCTCCCTCTGTGACCTTGGGCAAGTTGCCCCTCCCTAGGCCTCCTGGAGCTCAATTTCCTCATTTGTACTGGGAGGTAGTGGATTGATGAGTTTCTGAACTGCGCTGGTCTCAGAAGGCGAGCTTCCCCCACGTCTGGGGCCATTCCCTTGTCTCCCTCTGTTATTATGTGTGATCTTAACAAGGAACGCCCAGACAAGCTCCCTCAGGCCCCTGGTGGTCCTGCCAGTCCCTGGAGGACTGAGCCCCTCCCCAGCCAGCCAGGCCCAGGAAGTCCTATGCGCCCCCTGGCAGGACAGAGAGCCTGCATTTAAGCAGAGCCTTCTCCTTTCTCTCCTTCCCTTTGCCCAGGAGACCTGTAGGGCAGTGAGCGCCACCCAAGACCTCAGGCCACAGGTGCACAGCCTGGCTGGCCACTGCCACCTCTGGGGGTCTCCTACCACCACCTCCAGCTGCCACCCGGAGGGGCCAGCTTGCAGCAGAACTTCCTGCAGCATCTCCCAGAGTTCTCCCCCAGGCCACGGCATCCCATAGGCAGCCCCGTGATATTTGCATTGCCATGTGCATTGTCATTTGCACACACCAGTTTGTATTGCACCATCTCTTCTCAAGCAAGGTCTCCAAGAGGTGTCCTGGCATAGAGGCAGAACAATACAGTCCCCAACTCCTGGGTTCAAGTGCTCATCCCTGGAGCCTCCATCCCTTCGTTGGCGAATGGGAAGACCCTTACCTCCTTCACGGAGGCAGAACTTGACATGGGCTCTCACGCAGAAGCTAGCTCCCGAGTTTCTAGCACAGGCAGGCACGGGTTTATGCCCTGGGGATGCAGTGTGACAAGGCGGGAAACAGACAATGAACAAGTCACCGACTTATAAATAAGAAAACCTCAGATTACAGGGTGCTCCGGGGAGGAAAGAAGCAGGGAGAATGGGCGAGCCCGGCCCTCCGCCATGCTAGCCACCATCTTTGCCCCCGGGTCAGGTTGGCAGCAGCCGACTGAGCCCACAGAGGCTGAGCCCCGTCCACTCACCTGCCCGGCCGGCAGCATCCAGGTGACAGGAATGGCCTCAGCCCCTGTCGCTGAGGCCTTAGCCCCGCCTTCTCTCCAGGCCTGGGCCAGAAGTAGGGGTGGCCAGTCCAAGTGGCGGGAGGACTTGGGGCCCAAGGGGAGGACCTCGGTGCAGGGGTGGGGCCATGGGGGTGGCGATGTGTGGGGGGGTACTCCCAACCCAGGGCCCCTTTGCACACTCCCCAGAGAGAACCAGCCGAGACAGAACAGGTGCAGGAGATGGGAGGGCACCATGGTGAAGGCTCAGCTTGGGGACCACGGGACACCTGGCTCAGATCTGGACACTGCCCTGCTCAGGCCAGGGACCTCGGCCATAGACGGACGCAGCCCCTCTGAGTCCACCTCCTCTCACGAGGATGCCCGGGTCACAGTAAACCCTAAGACCCTTCGCACACACAGTGCCTGCATCCGGGAGGCACCTCATAAATACGGGAGCTTCCCCGCCATCATTCTTCACCTCACCTTTGGGGCCAGTCTTCCCTGTCTGGTCCACTGTCTGACTAAGGCAGGGGCAGCAGAGCAAAATTTGAGGAGGCACATTTTCAGGGTCTTCCCTGCTCACCCTCGGCCCAGGATAATTTCTTCCTCAAGGTCACAGGGACCCCCACCTGCTGACCTATGATGTGCCAGATGCCCCGGGACAAGTGTTGAATAGGTATCAGCCTCTCACCAGTGATGCCAGTAATGGGACCCTCTTGTCCCCACTGGACAGAAGAGAAGACTGAGGCCCGGAGAGGAGAAATGGCCCATCAGGTTCCCATGCTGGAGAATGGAGCCGCTGGGATGTAGCTCCAGCCTGGCCTCACCCCAAATGTGGAGGGTCTGCCCTTGACACAGCGGGGACCCTGGTGGCGCAGGTGGCCAGGCAGTGAAGGTGCTGAGATCCCGGGAGGATGCAGGTTCACCCAGTGATGGGGGTGGGGCTGGGGCGACCCCAGCTCTAGGACAGGTGAGGGAACCAAGCCCTGGGAGGGTCTGCTGGGGTCAGACAGTCACCAATGACAGCAGCGTCCTCGTGGGGGTGCCCCGGGACCCCTTTCCTCCCCCAGCCTCCCCTGCACCCCTGTAAGAGCGTCTCCCCAGTCGGAGGGGCCAGAGGCCAGGCCGGGTCATTTCCTGGCCCAGCCCAGCCCCACCTCTCGCCTCTCGCCCATAACTCAGGGCTGGAACATTGATAAGCAACTCATTGCACGTCAAGTCTCTATCAGCGAGCGGGAGCGACTGGCTGGAACCCTTGTCTTTCAAGGTTCAGAGAGAAATAAAAATAGATGGGGGACAGGGAAAGTTATCATCTCCTTCCTTTTGTCATTCTGGCGGCCGAGCTTCGGGCTTCGCGGAGCTCCCCATCTGTCATGTTGTCACCAGGCTCTGGCAGGGGGAGGCGG